ATATCAGAGTGGAAAAAGCCAGGAAGCAGGCAAATTGCAGGGGGAAAAAAAAAAAAAAGTCTGGAGAAATGCTTTTTTCAGATGAGAACTGTCTCAAAACCTTCCTACTATGCTGCAAAGATTAGGAACAACCCCAACTTGCTCCCATACCCGTTAACCTAAAGGCTAAGTTTTAATTCTTTTGTGGCCAGCAGACTGGAAGCCGGCGCTGATCGGATTTTGGTGGCTGCCCAGGGTGCCCCGGCGGGAGGAGGGTGGCAGCTTTCCTCCCCGCTCACCCCCCTAAACAAACTGAAAATAAAGCAAAGAGAGGGGCAAGCCAGCACGTGGGGAAAACTTGGAAATGCGTTTGTTTTTGGAGAAATTCTGCAGAAAAACTCTTGGCATGACCACCTGGCTGCTCGGACATAGGCTCTGTAGTGGGGAAGCGCTGGGGACGGGGTGCAGGGCAGGTGGGTGCCGAGAAAGAGGAAGATGTTTCTGTTGTATGCTGTGCCTTGCCTCGAAAATCCTGTTTCACACCATAAATGAGCTGGAACTGCTGCTCGCTGAAATGCAGGTGGCCTTAGGTCCTCCTGGGGTTTTGGATATGGCTAAGCCAGGCTTTGAATTTAGGCCAGGTCCTCCACGGTCAGGAGGTCCCAGCATCTGACATCTTTCTCGCATCCTGGAGTCATGCAGGCTGCAGCCGCTCTTCATGCCGTGTATTTTTTTCTCTTAGTCGTTTCTCTTTTTCCTATTTTATACCCATTTATCTTCCCGTGGCAACCGTTTTGTTTAGCGCTCCGTGTTCCCTCTACAATTTGACGAGGAAAACGTCGGCTTGTGCGCGTCGGGTGATGTTTTGTGAGGTCCTGAGCTCGCACAGAATGAAAAGCTGGCGCGCAAATCCAGGCCTTAACACAGAAATAAAGGTTTTATTCCAATGTGTGTATTAGCAGCACTTTACTGGCCTGCAGCCTTAGCCAGCGTTTTGGTTTGCTTTGCAAAAGCCTATTTTCAACGCTGCCCAACAGGTCCATCTTTGCGTGGAGCAGAATGGGGTCTTTCGGGCTGTTGCTGGCTTGATCCATATTTTTGCCATTGCTGTATGAGTGGATTATATGTTGGATTTACATTACCCTCTTGGGTTGTTTTCCAATGCTCCTTTAAAAGTGGAGAAAAAAAAAGAAAAAACCCCGGTAACTCCAAAGCCTCCAAACAGGCAGTTGCCCGTGGGAACCGGGTTTGGCTCCGTGCACTGGCATCGGTCACGGGCTGAGCTATCTGCTGGCAGGGGGGTCGCTCTGGAGATGTTACCAGGCTTTACACGTGCAAGGAAAATTAAAAAGGGGGGAAAAAATCCAGTGCGGAAATGAGATTTTTTTTTTTTTTTAATTATTATTTGCTAGGAAATAATTTCTTAGGTAGGTCAGGGCGTGCAGCGCATCCTGCTCGGCCCCGTGCCTTCGCTTGGGACCTCGTCCGGGTGCGTGCGTCAGGTTTGACTCTCTGCTGCTGTGGTGATGCCAGGTTTGTGTGTGTTCCTGGAGAGGGGGATCTGTTAAAGAAACCCCTGTAGCGGGAAGGTGCTGGTGTCACTGTGGGCTGAGGAGGTGCTGGTGTCACTGCGGGTCAGGCTGGCTG